GGAAAATATTTCATACAATACATTACAAATAAAAGAAAATAAAGGAGTAAATTCAAGAGAAAAGTGAAACACCATTTTTGGTCGGATTCTTAAAGATTGCCATAAATTAAACTTGAGTCATCCCCAAAATCTCTTCGTCTTTCTTTGAGTTTTGTCCTTTTGTTGATCTAATTCTTCTCAAAATGCCAAGAAACTGAAAGAAAAAATGAAGGGCGGGGGGTGAGAGAGAGAGAGAATGAAAAGATAAAAAAAAATGAAGGAAGAAGCCAGAATAACCTGCCCAGACGGCCGGTTTCGACCTTTAGAACCTAGAAAATATGTAGCCAAGTCCCCATATTTTGGTTAGACATTTAAAATGGACCCCCACTTTCTTTTTCCAATTAAAAATGGCGACTAGGCGCCAACTCTCTGTCAAACAACAAAATAATAATAATAATAATAATAACTTTAATTTCAATCAAGCCCTTCATAAGTTGCAGTACAGAGTCCTAAACTTTTGGCACTTGCCACTTTGATCCCACTTTCACAATTTTGCATAGTTTTGGTCAATTATCATTTCCTTTTGTCTTGTTCTATTTCATTGGGTAATTTTTACTATAAAAGCAATAATTACATAATTGTGAGTAGAATTTCGTTCATTTAAACTTATTTAGTTATTAAATAAGCATCAAAAACATACTTATCATATTTCATTTCCATGATATTGACAATAATGATATTAGAATAATGCTACTTGTATATAATGAATTATTAATGGTTTATTATTTGATTGAAAAAATTCTGACTCGATTATATCTTATCATATCATGTGTATATAACCATTTTGTACTAGTAACAAAATTGTAATGTATTATGGATGTTGTAACATAAAATAGAGTAGTACTATTTAATACTATTGGTGTTACAACACCAATTTTAAGTGGATACTAAAGTGACATTAAAAGAAAAGTACAATTAAATGAATCACATAACTCCACCTTTCATTGAGTTTCACATTATGAACTTAAACTAATGCTTTAACATAATTCTTTTTAGATAACATCATTTAATAAAATAATGCTACGGGTCCATATCGTTGACTACCAACTGTTTTTGTGAATTAGGATTTGTTTCAGTACCATTTTTTGAAAGATCAATGTGATAGTGGATAGTCCGAGATTTGAACCCAAAACTAGTCGGATGGAGTGAACAATGAAAATAGATGGTGAGTGTCTGTTCGAATGAATCAGGTCATATAGGAATATAAAGAATGGTAGAGGGCTCATTGACGCTTGACCCTGAGATAAAGATAATCCAAAACACATTATCATGGCATACTCCTCTTGTTCGAATTGAGGTTTGTGATTTGATTTCCTAAATTCATTAGGACGGAAGGGTTCGTACATTTGAAGAGTGGGACCAAAATTCGTTGCCTTACCAACAATAGTGATTTTTTTTTAGAAAATGTATTATTAAGAAATAAAAAATTTTGGTTTTCGAATAAAATTATTTTATTGAAATAACATGGGGTTGAAAATGACTTTTTTAATAAGGTTCAAACACGGGTAAATCGATTTAAGTGTTGGAATTTAAGATCCAATTAATAGATTTCAATCACTTATCCAACTATCTAGATGAATAATAGTACTCTTTAAAAGAATTTGCAGCCTCGTATCCAAAGGGAATCATCTAGTGGAAGAATTAACTATCTAATACTAATGAGTAATGCTATTCGTAGTCGCTCACTACAATAGTCGCCTTACGTGGTATATACATGGCAAGTGATTATTTGATGCATTAATGTGGTAGTTTTTTATTCATTAATGCATCAAATAACCACCTGCTATGTGTATGCCACGTAAGACGACTGTCGCAGTGAGCGACTGCAAATAACATTATTCAATACCAATAGTGTTAAATTAAACATGTTAATTAATGACAAATATGTTGTCACGGTGTCACCAGCACTTGCAATGTTGTTAAATGGTGCTATTGCTATTTAGCATTACTTGTCGGAGAATAAACTATTTAATGTTGGCGATGTTCAATACTCGTTTAATTCTGCCACATATATTGTCATTTGTATTGTTGTTAAATACCTCTAAGAGCCATGCTTTTTGGCTAGGGCGAAATCCCGACCAAACAACAGGGCACCACATGTTGGAGGGGTGGCCATCCCTACCTCTAATGATAAATAACCCAAAACAAATAACTGGAGTAATTTATTAGTTCGATCTTCAAATTTTATTTGCTTTACATAAAATCTTCTATTTTATAACTGGTGGCAATGGGGTAGGGTTGGGGCCCTAGGGTCGGACAGATTAATTATAATAATGTATTACCTATAAACTTACATTTTAAGATCAATTTTCATAAATAAGTAGGATTAGTTTTAAATTAAAAAATCTGGTGGTAAGTAAGGTCAATTAACATTATAAAATTAAATTAATTTTCATACTCATCCCCACCCCCACCTCAACTCCCCACCACACCACAAAACCTCCAAATCATTTTCCCATCATCTCTCTCTCGTCCATTGCCCATTCTCTCTCCTTTCTCTTTCTAACTCTCTTCTTGTTGCTCCTCTTCTTCTCTTCCGGTGGCCCATTCCGGTGCCACTGCACCTTCTCTTTCAATGGCCAAGCACAGCACAAATGTCGTGTGCTAGTTGTCGTTGTGAGACGCGCAACTGTGTGCGGTAGTTTCTTCGCGATTCGTTTCTGATTTGATATGATCTTCTAGGGATGATGTAGGTTGTTTGCGCTGTGGTTGGTGGCTGTTCGTGGTCACTGTGATTTTTTTTTTGATTTGATCTTTTTTGTAGTTGTGGTGATGTTTTGGTGATCAAATTCCACCATATTCCTTCTCTCTATCATCCTCTCTACCTACCGACTCTCTACCATATCTTTTCGGTACCACTATGCATAGCGGAGAAGAACAAGCAACAAGGTGTCGTTGCTGTTGTGCTGCTGTTGCTTGCAGTGGTTTTGTAATCTGAGATTACCCACTGCCACCATGGTTTGGGAGGGTTTTCCTTTTTTCCTCTTTGAAAATGGATAGGGATGGTTGTTGATGTTTTACAATGGTGTCAATAATTTTTGATTTGTTATTGTTGGTGGTTTTATTGGTGATTGTGTAGGAGGCGATGGTTCTATTGCTGGTGGTGCATGTTGTCATGGTGAGGAGGTGTACTTTTGGTTCTTGAAGATGTTTGGAGTGGTGGTGGTGTCAAAAACCTGGTGTAATCAAGTCTATCTTAATTGTGACTTTCTGTGACCAGATCTGTGTTTAACTCTGACTATATGTGACTTGGTTATATACAGTCACAAATTAGACTGATATGATTTCAAATAGTCATACTAAATACAAAGTTGGTCATGATTAGTCACTGATAAGTGATAACACAAACCAGTGAAGGTCGTTTTTATGGTTATGAATTTGAATTGAATGTGGTAGTGGTGCTGCACTGGAGGTGATGGTGGTGGATTGTGATATTGGTCTTAGGTGTGTGCATATATGTTTGTGGTGACCCCATGTGACCAAATATGTGTTTGTTGTGACTGTTTGTGACCAATTTTTGTTGGTTTGTGACCGATTGTGATTTGGTCACAGTTAAAATTGACTTGGTCATAGATAATCATACTAAATATAAATTTGGTCATAGTTAGTCACATCAAAGACAAATTTGATCACAGTTAATCACAGATAACATGGTTCAATGAATTAGTTACATATAGTTACAAATTAGATGATTACATAAAGTCACAGAGAAAATAAATTTGATCACAAATAGTCACGTAAAACATAAGTATAGTCATGAGCAATAAATCTGGTTACAGATAAATTTTTAGAGGTTTTCTATAGTGGACTATAGAGAGAGAAAATGTTTTTAATTTTTGGAGATTTTTCTATCGTCGAAGCCAGAGCAGTTGTCGGAGTGATAGTCGGAGCAATCGTCGCATCGGTAACCAGAGAGGTTGTTGGAGTAATCGTCGGAGTTGATGGCCGCTTCCGATGGGGGAGAAGGGGTAAGGAGAGAATAAAGAGTAGAGAGAGCAAGAGAAGGGCTTGAATTTGAAATTTGGTGTGATTAATTATATTATATTATAATTAGAATTTTAATGAGTTAATTTATCACCAGATTTTTGAAAAATTTTATAGAGTTTGTTAACTTTGAAATGTGTTGCTTATATGTAAGATTTATATATCGATCCCTAATGAGAATTTGACTGAACTTTGTATTTTATTCTACACATCCAAATAAATTATTTGCATTAAAATATCTATTTGATATGTGGCCCTGTTTGGCATCCATTTTTATCAAAATGCATTTTTCTCTCTCTTCTTTTTAACCACACATTCTTTATTAAAATAATATTACACGTAAATCAAAAACTTTTTCTTATTTTTCAACCACACATTTCCCATCAATTTACTATTCAATAAAGAGTAATGCTATTTCGTGTAAGTGCAATTTAGCACCCGTCTATGTGACACTGAAATGCAATGCATTCAATGGGTTAAAATAAAGAAGTTATAATTTTTAACCAATTGATGCAACGAAAAATTTTAAGCTTAGACGATTATCATAAAACATTTATTACGTATCATAATATTCACATATTTAAGAATTTATATTTTCAAACTAGTAAATGGACAGAAATTTAGGATTCCTAATTGAAGCAAATAATTTTATGCACATGTAGAACAGCCAAATCTATTTTATTTATTTTATCTTTTGAATTCAACCATTAGTTTTTAATCAATTCTCCGATCTCAGGTCAAAACAAATAGTTTTCGGATCAAAGTGCGGGTCATTTGAACTCGATTTCAGTTTGTGAAAAAAATAAAAAATAAAATTAACATTCTATTTAACACTAGAAAGGTATCACATTTAATCCGCTTCACATCCAGCCAAAGTATTTTTCATGCCAATGGAGCAAAAAATTTTGTTATTTTAGACGCGATAACAACACTAAGCTCAAAAGTAAAAGCGCATTACCAAAAACCATCTCAAAGGTTGCGGGTCAGAATCGCTATTCTGTGACTTCTGGATAACACAAAGAGATGTGGACAGGACTGGACGGATGAAGAGGTGCCAAGTTTCGAATAGGAAGAAGCAACAGTTTTGAATATACTCATACAAAATGTCAGTATTCAATTGGAGTTCGTAAAAATACAGAACACAAGCAGCTGAAGAGAAATTAAAGGGTGCAAAATGAGTCAGTATTGTTCATGCTAAATTCTGTTAAACAATTACCTCTTCTCATCTTGATTACACATAGGTATTTTCACTCTATTGTTAGTGTAGAAAAATCAATCTTTTTTCATTTTACCTTATCTGATTATCTGTCCATATATCAATTAGATTCAGAATTAACCCCAGAATCTTTATTTTTGTATTTTGTTCTTATAGTACTACAGATTTAGGAAATCTTGAATTCATGGCAAGTCTCTTGCATACGGTGTCTCCAAAACCATCATCTGAACATGCTAGAAAACCCCATGGATTCCTTGCCCATATACCAAAATTCCAATCTTTACCCTTCAATAATGATTTTCCTAAAGTTTTATCCTCAACCCACCTGGCTAGTACTCCATTGGACAGTGTTTTCACCCTGCCCAACTGGAGGTCTGGTAGGAATGACCCAAGAACCAGGGATATTAAGCTCAATGATGCATTTCTGTATTTGGAGTACATGGTAGGTAAGGGCCATAAGCCTGATGTAGCCAATGCCACTCAGTTATTGTATGATCTTTGCAAGTCGAATAAGCTTAGAAAAGCTACTAGAGTTATGGAGATGATGGTCAGGTCGGGTACCATTCCGGATGCAGCTTCCTACACTTTCTTGGTGAATCATTTGTGTAAGAGAGGAAATGTAGGCCATGCGATGCAATTAGTCGAAAAAATGGAGGAATGTGGGTACCCAACTAATACCATGACTTATAATTCGCTTGTTAGAGGGCTATGTATGCGTGGGAACTTGACACAGAGCCTGCAATATGTAGAGAGATTGATGCAAAGGGGGCTGGTCCCAAATGCATTTACTTATTCGATCTTGCTTGAGGCTGCTTATAAGGAAAGAGGGGTTGATGAAGCAAGGAGGTTGCTGGATGACATAATGGCTAAGGGTGGAAATCCTAATTTGGTTAGTTACAATGTTATACTGACTGGATTGTGCAAGGAAGGTAGAATTAATGAGGCAATACAACTTTTCAGAGATTTGCCATTGAAGGGATTTAATCCTAATGTTGTCAGCTACAATATATTGTTGAGGAGCTTGTGCAATGAAGGGCGTTGGGAGGAGGTGAATGACCTTCTTGCGGAGATGGTTGGTGATGAACGCGAGCCATCTATAGTCACATATAATATATTGATTGATTCTCTTGCGTGTCATGGGCGAACAGATCAAGCACTCGAGGTACTGGATGGGCTATACAAAGATGGACAATTCAAACTCACTGCTGCTAGCTACAATCCTATTCTTACGAGTCTTTGCAAGCAGAGAAAGGTAGACGATGTGGTTAAGTGTCTTGACCAAATGATTTATCGACACTGTAGTCCTAATGAGGGAACATATAATGCTATTGCTGTGCTGTGCGAGGTGGGAATGGTGGAAAAGGCCTTTTCAATTATCCAAAGTTTGAGAAATAAACAGGAGTCCTCTATTCATGACTTCTACAGAAATGTCATCTCAAGTTTATGTAGGAAAGGCAACACTTATCCAGCATTTCAGCTTTTGTATAAAATTACAGAATCTGGATTTACTCCTGACTCATACACGTATTCGTCTTTGATTAGAGGTTTGTGCATGGAAAGAATGTTAGGTGCTGCATTGGACGTATTTAGGGTGATGGAAGAAAGTGGCTACCACCCTGATGTTGACAATTTCAATGCACTTGTGCTTGGTTTATGCAAATGCCATAGAACAGACTTGTCTCTGGAAGTATTCGAGATGATGATCGAGAAGGGATATATGCCTAATGAGACGACATATACGATTTTAGTAGAAGGGATCATTCATGAAGAAGAAAAGGAACTGGCAACAGTAGTTTTAAAGGAGTTGCATCTAAAGCAAGTCATGAGTCAAAATACAGTAGAAAGGCTCTCTATGCAATACGACCTATGAAGTCAAATTGGGATGTGTATAATTCACTTCCTGGTATTGGTAAGTATGCGGCCGACTAGATGGAGAGATTTGTACATTGATATTGGTCTGGTTAGGGCCAAATGATTGTGAAGGTTGACATCTTCATTTATAAGGTAGCAACAAATGAATTTGAATTTATGCCAATGCGAATTTCATTGTTCTAACTTGTGATTATTTCTACTGGCATATCTGGGGCAGTTCTGTTATTGTTCAAATGATTTTCATTGTCAAGTTCGACAATAATCATTTGAAGATTACCGGTTTTTTCTTGTAATACAAATATGGCAAAATTCAATTTCAAATTGTTCCTAGTTATTCAGGTGGTTGCAAGATAACCGTATATCAATTTTCAGTAAATTTCCCCTTTTTCAGGTGACCCTTCTAACTATTTCTAAGATTGAATGGATTTGGAACACATTGTTAGTAGAAAGAGATCGTTTTCAAGAACTGCTGAAAAAATCAGATTGGTTCACCATTCTATTTTGAAATAATCACATCAATATCATAATGTGAGAGGAACAGTTGTTTCGACAGTTTTCCGTTTTAACAGCTTTTCACCTTTCGTTTTGTTATGTTGCCATGCTGTCAAAACCCCCACCCAGGGATGAAAAACAGATCTTTATCCGCTTGGGAATTTTCAAGGGTAGACGAAGGTTAAAGTTTTTCAGGAAGAAGGATTCAAGTTATGGAGAACTTGAATAAATTATCTGGTTTTCACGTAAAATTGATTCTAGGACCAAATCTGCTGCTCAGTAGTCGCATTATTGCAGGTTTGGGCAGGCTGCTGGGGTGTTTTTTGCAGCAACATGAAATTTGCTTATATTTTAGCCAAGGAATCTTCAGAATCGAGCAAGTTAAAGAGAAGAATTCTTACTCTTCATGTATCCAATTTTTCTCTATCAATTAAGGTACAGGAGCTTCTTCTCCACTATCAAATCCATA